CATAGACTGGAAGCCTCTTAAACAACAGACATTTATTTCTCATGATTCTGGAAGTCCAAGATCAAGGTCCCTGCAGATTCAGCATCCCATGAGGGCTTCTTCTCTAAGAGTACTGATCCCATTTGTGATCCTCCACCCTCATGACCTAGTCACCTCCTGAAGGCCCCGCCTCCTAATACCTTTGGCGGGGGGTGGGGGGGGTGGTTAGGTGCAACATCTGAGTTTTGTGGGGACACACACCTTCAGTCGAAATTATACATAGACTCACACAGTGAAAATTCCATGCGGCCATCAGATATCCTGAACCACATTACCTAGAACAAGGACCTATCTCAAAAACTTAATGTCTGGTGAAAAAAATAAGACAGAAAATGAAACTTATGGACCAATACTCTCTATGCAGATTCTAAAACACACACAACATGGCACTCAATCATTTTCAAAGAGTCACTTATATTTAAATGAATGTACAACGTATTGACAATGGATCGGAAGGATTAAACTCTAGTGAATTAACTGCACTAAGTGGGTGTTACAGGGAGGAGGGAAGGGGAGGGAGGAGACCGAAGGAGGGTGGGGAGAGGGGTAAATACAACCTAAGTGCAGCTAGGTGAAGTGAGCCAGGACCTGGGGGGCAGGGCAGGGGGGGGGGCTTGGTTTTGTTCCAGGATTTCCCAGGGCAGAGGACCAGAGGACTGGGGCCCCAAGGCCACAGGGCCACAGGGCCACCTGGAGGCCGGGATTCACCTGCAGGGCCTTCCCAGCCAACGGCTCCCATCCTGCTTCCCTCCACCAGCCTCAGGTGAGCCCCACAGGCCCAGGCTGGCCTGTGGAAAGCCCAACTTTCATCACCAATCAGCACCAGACCCCAACCCCCCATTTCACCCAAGAGTGTCCGCGTCCCCGATGATGCCTCTGAGGCCTCTGCCCCCTCAGCCCTCCACCGCTGGGCCAGAGACCGGCTCAGATGAGCAGAAGCACTGTGGGGGGCCCTGTCAGAGGGTGGCATTTGCTTACCTTCCTGCTGTTACTAACTTTTTGAGGGTGACTGAGCGGTGGGGGGGTCTTAGGACAAGGTTGCTGTACGTCACCCATAGAATGGGTTCTGAGGACCCACCTGTGGAATCTGGAAGAGGGACAGGATGGATAGAAGAGAGGAGGGAAGGCAGAGGGAGGGAGGGAAGAGGCAGTGGCCACACAGAAGTACAAACAAGCCAATCTCAGACACACCAACCGAGCCAAAGGAGGCAAAGCCCTTTGACAACAGGGGTTTCCATGCACACGTCTGGGGTGGTAGAAACCTGCTTCATCAAAATCTGGAGAGAGCTGAGCACATCTTGAAATCTTCAGGCAAATAAAATTTATCCCTTTAAGCACCATTTAACCATTTAATGTTGCAAAATGTACTAATGGTCCCTGCCTTTAGTTACGCACAGGACACCAAGCACAATGTGATATTTTCTCAAAAGGGTCGTCATCTGGAGCATTTGTGGGACATCACAAGGACCCCCCCCGGGGGGCTGTTGAGGCCTGTGTCCCACCTGCCTGCCCCACCTAACCCCCAAGCCCTGCCGCTCTCCGAGCCTCCTTCTTCCCGGCTGACCTCGGGGCCTCTCATAGACTGTTCCCTCTGCCACGACCACTCTCCCACGACTGAGAACCTGAGAACCATTGGCTCAGCATCCACTTCCACGCACACTAGGCCAAAGCCCTGGGCTCCCTCCCCATGCCCAACTCTGTGCCACTCAGTGGGCTGCAGGAGGATCTGTTTCCTACCCGCTTTGGGGGCCTGGCAGCCCCTTCTCTCTCTGCGGGCTGCAGGGAGGACCAAGCGCTCTGTCCTAGGCTCCAGATGCAGAACTCTCAGCAAGCCCTGGGCTGAGACGGGGTGAGGCTGAGTGAGGCTTGCGAAGACCCCAACTCAGAGAGGAGGGGAATGCGGGACAATTGGCATTCTCCACTGAGTGAGTTTGTGGTCACGTGGGACAGCTGCAAGGGGGCTGGTGTTAGAAGGCACGTCACCAGCAGAGTGGGAGAAAGGCCTGGCCCCCAGCATACCCCTCCCGCCCCTTGCCAGCCCCCTACCTACCCCCCCACCCACCGCCAGGGGCTCAGTCCCTTGTCCTCTTCTCTCTCCACACTCAACCTCATTCATCTCATCCAGTCTCAGGACTTTAATGTCACCTGGGTCCGAAATTCCCGAATCAACCTTTCCAGATGGGATCTCTCTCCTGAACTTCAGGCTCATGCATCCAGTGGCCCACACAACGGATCTCTGCTTGGATGTCAGATAGAGATCTGTGTCTGTCATCTTTTGCTGCGTAACAAACACCCCAGAACGTAGTGACCAAAAGAACGATTGATTATTTCTCATGACTCTGTCGGTCGGGACTTTGGGCCGGACTCATCAGGACGGTTCTTCTGCCCCATGGGCTGTGGGCTGGGGCCACCCCGGGGCTGCATTCCTCAGAGAGTGCAGCTGGTACAGGAACATGGAAGAAGGCCTTTCTCCCGTGTCGGGTAGGTACTCACTGCCATCCACGGGCTTCTCCAGTTGGCTCCCTCGGCTTCCTTTCCGCTTGGTAGCCGAGTTCCCAGAAAGCCAAAGCAGAAACTGCCAGACCTTGTCAAGCTGAGGCCAGGAACTGACCTAGCATAATTTCCCCATGCTCCCCTGATCCAAGCAGGCCACAAGACCAGCCCTGGTTCAAGGACGGGGAGGCAGGGGGAAATAATGGCCAAGTGGCATGGGGGCAGGGGGACGGAGGGGAGGAATTGTCAGCAGCTCTCCTTAGAGATTCTTCTGCCAGGACATCTCACACCCAGCCTGCCGAAATCCAACTCCTGCCCTTCCCCCAGACCTGGCACCCACGGCCTTTCCCAGCCTGGTGGACGACACCTCCATCCTCCCAGTCTTCACGCCAGAACCATGACATCTGGTGCATTACAAGTCCCGTTGGCTCCGCCTGGAGAACATTCCTGAATCCGGCCCCTTCCCTCCAGCACCACTGCGGCCAGGTGAGTGAGTCACGATTCCTCATCAGCCCCCTTGTCTGCTCTCCCTGCTTCCACCGTTGGAGTCTCTTCCCAACACAGCCGCCACGTTGATCTTTCTATACTTGAGGTCAGATAATGTCACTCCTCTGCTCAAACGTTCCAGTGCCGTCCTATTTCTCTGAGTAGAGCAGAAGCTCTGACAATAACCCCCGGGGCCCTGTGCTGTCCGCATGCCCCCATACACACTAGGACATTCCTGCTCCAGACCTGGTTTCCGAGCACTTGCTCCTGTCCTGGCTACCCTGACCTTCTGTCCGGAGCACACCCTGCAGTCCATAAAGCATTCTCTTAGCCAGGAGCAGCTACATAATCTGCAGGGCCCGGGGCAAAATGAAAATGCCAGCCCTTGTTCCAAATGACGAAGAATTTCAAAGTGGCAACAGGAGAGCATGAAACCAAGCGCGAGGTCCTCTGAGCGTGGGGCCCCATGCACCTGCACAGGTCAGATGCCATGGAGCCAGACCTGCCCGTACCCCTCATCACATCTGGCCCTTGGAACAGCCCTGTGAGGCAAGCAGCATAGAGACGATGGTCACCTTCTCCAACTCCAGATAAGGAAGTCGGCTCAGAGAGGGTAGGCACATGGCCAGGGTCACGGAGCTGGAAAGTAGAGGGCCAACTCTGGACCCTACACCTCGGCATCAGAGTCTGGACTCCTTCCTCCACACCAACCACCCTCCGCTCTATGTCCGGGTCCAACCTGAGAGGAGAGAGACTCTGGGTGCCCCCTTCCCGGCTCCCCTGCACAGCCCCCAGGGACACTCCCCTCCCACCCACCCCAGGTCATGATCAAAGTGCCTCCTCCCGGAATTACTAGTTGGCGCTTGCAGCTGGAAACGAGGCCTAAGAAAGAGAGACAGAGGAGAGCAGAGCCCAGTAGGAGAACAGAACTTCCAAGGACTGGATTAAGATACAGAAGGAGAAAACGCACAGGAAAGGGGAGAGAAGGTCTCAAACAGCATAAATCCGAGTCCTCTGGCTCCAAGCCCCAGGAGCCCAAGAGCCCTGCCAGGACACAGGGCAGAGCCCCGCAGGGCCGGGTCCGAGGGGACACAGCACAGGGCCAGAAGCCCAGGGGCCCTAATTAGGGGATTACACAAAGGCTGGGAGTGGGACCACCACAGGCCCCAGCCTGCGTCGGGACAGACTTAATGGCCTGGGCTGGAGTCACCACCAACATAAAATAGTCTTGTTCCCCGGCGATTTTTACAAGGCATTTATGGACCTGGGACAACTTTGGGACAGCACTCAGCTTATGGGGCCGGGTGCCCAGACAATGGGGGCAAAGAGGCAGGTCAGCACAAGGACCCTGTGATGAAGGCACAAAGGCAGGGAGAACTGAGGGGCATTCACCCTGTGTGCAGGGCTCAGGGCCTCCCCCACCTTGTTATGTACAGCCACGGGGCTGAGCCCAGCAAGGGACCTTCACCCCTGCAGACCAGGGTGTGAGGCCCCAACATCGTAACTGGATTCCTGGGGCCTGGGAAGCCCACCACCAGCACCAGCGTTTAAATGTAGCCCCAGTGGATACAAAAGCCATCAGGGCAGGGCCTCTGAGCTGCTGCCCCACCCCCCAACAGCACCAAGGACCCTGGAAATACCATCAGCTCCCATACACCACCCCATTGTTTCAATCAGCTCCCATGCTTCGTAGTCATTAACTTGTTGTCCCATCCTTGCTAAGCAAAGACGGCCATAACTAGGTCCAATGTGTGTGAGCTAAGCCCATATGCAGACGTGACTCCAGCTCAAAGCGGAGACAGTGGGTGCCCGGGCTCTTCGGGCTCTGGTGACAGTGGACAACTCCATGATTTACTTGTGTGTAGCTACCAGCTACTGAGGACTTCCCACGTGCAAGCCCCAGGAGGGGAGGCTTCGCAGGAATCATCTCTTTCAGGCCTCATGTCCCCTTGGGAAGCAAGCCCAGCATCCTCAGCCCCAGCTCACAGGTAAGCAATCAGGTTCACAACAGCCCAAGGACACATACTGGTAGGCAATGGGCCCAGGACTCCACCGCGGATCTGCAGCAGGTAACGCCAGGCTCCGTCCACCCCCACGTCCATGTTCACCACGCCTGAGAGGCATGGAAGGTGCCAATATCGGGAAGGAGAGGCCAGCTCCACCTGGCACAGTCAAAGAGGGCTTCCTGGAGGTGGCGATGTCCGAGTCAGGCCTAGAATGATGGGTAGGGTTGGCTGAAAGAGAGGAGCAAAGAGAAAAAGAGAGCATGTGTCGGAGCCTGAGCACGGCAGGCAGGAACCAAGGCGTCCTAGAGCCACGTCAGTACACGGCCTTGGAGCCCCCGAGCTTGGGAGTTCTGTCCTACCGTCATCAGTAAGTGTACCAGTCACCACATAGCCCAAACTTACCGTTGTTCTTATAGAATTCTATTTTATCCGCACAAATATCCTTGCAGAGAAGAACAATGCTTCTCCCCAGAAGACGGAGATGCAGGAAGGCTGAGGATCTTGCTGGCTGTGTGATCTCAGGTGGGTGGTGGAGTGGGTCTAGAAGGTGGGCGCCCCTGCAGCCGGCATCCACACGCTCAGCCGCCCCGCAGAGAGGCTGCTGACGGGCGGTTTGTGTGAGCAGGCAGAAACAGTGTCGGACTCGGAGCAGCGAAACCCCGGTTCCACTCTCAGCCCTGACACTCACGACCCAACCCCAGGCCAGCAAGTTCACCTCTGGGCGTCCCCGGGCCGTGCAAGTGCTTTGCTGAGGGTGGAAGTCCGAATAAGGACCCCAAAGTGGTCCAATCCTATCCCCAGAAGTGTGACTGTGCCCCTTTACATGGCAAAAGGGACTTTACAGATGCGCTGGGTAAGGATCTAAGGACAGGAGTCGATCGTGGAGTATCTGGTGGGCCCGCTGGAATCACAGAGGCCCTCGGGAGAGGAGACAGCAGGCCAGAGTCAGAGAAGTGATGACAGAAGCAGAGGTCAGTGCTGGGCTTTGTAAATAGGAAGGGGTCACAGTCTGGGGAATGCAGGTGACCTTGAGGATCTGGAAGAGGCAAGGAATAGGCTTCTTCCCGGGAACCCCCAGCAGGAAACAGCGCCGCCTGCACCTTGACCTTAGCCCTGTGAGACTGATTCTGGACTCCCGACTTCCAGAACTGTAAAATAACGAACTTGTGTTGTGTGAAGCCACATTTGTGGTGCTTTGTTACAGCAGTAAAGGGAACTCATATACAGGCTCTCCTACCGCCTCGCGGGGGAGCGATTCCTGCGAGGACGCTGCGCCCAGAGACTCTTACAGAAGTGTCTCTTACGGTCAGAGCAAAATTATTCTGAATTCTGCTCCTGGTGTATAGAAAAACAAGCTTCAAAAAATAAAATAATAAAAATAAAATTAGATAAAAGAAAAACAGGCTTCAGATAATCCCATTCTACTTCTTGGGAAGGGTTTAAAAAAAAGAAAGGAGATGATGGGGCACCTGGGGGGGCTCAGTTGTCAAACGTCTGCCTTCGGCTCAGGTCATGATCCCGGGGTCCTGGGATCGAGCCCTGCATCGGGCTCCTTGCTCAGTGGGAAGCCTGCTTCTCCCTCTCCCACTCCCCTTGCTTGTGTTTCCTCTCTCGCTGTCTCTCTCTCTGTCAAATAAATAAATAAAATCTTTAAAAAAAAAAAAAGGAGATGAAAACTATATAATAACTTTAAACAGCAACAGACTCTTCCTGTTTTCCCTAAATAAAACACATTTCCTTCTCCGAGGATGGTTTTAAGCTTCTTTCTGACAAAATTGAACCTGTTTGGGTGGAGGCTGCCGCCCATCCCCAAGTACCTACATCTGCCGGCGGATGCCGCCCCATCGAAGCCAGGCGGAAATAACAGCTCTGGGAAAGGAGCACTGTTGGCCAAGCAAAGGCTTTGGCGGGGTCAAGGGTTTGAGGGTTTGAGGCTTTGGGCAGGGAGTTTTCCAAGAGCTATAAATATAACAAATCAACTTTATGGGCAGGGGGATGTGGCCATATTTTATTAATAAAGCTAATGAAAACTTACAGCGGGCAGGGGGAGGCCGAGCTAAGGAGATGCTGCCCACACTGACCACATAGAAAACAGGATCCTATGGATGGTCCTGGACCAGCTCAGGGCATTGGTGCCTGGCCCTGGGGTCTGCCCTCCTCAACCCTGCTCTGAGCACAGATGGGCTCGGTGAGCAGAGCCCCAGGAGATCTGACCTGCATCCTACCAGCCCACCAACCAGTCACACCCCTGCCAGGAAAGCCTCTGACTGTGGAGGATGAGGCCAAAACAGGGGAACCAGAGACCCAGAGATGGAGATACACACACACACACACACATAACCTCCTAGTGGTTCTGCTTCTCTGATCAATGTCACTTTTTGGCCACCCAGAATCCTTGCATGCCCTTTCCCTATTTCATGAAGCTTGGAGTAAGGCAGAGGCCCCATCCCAATTCAGAGGCTGAAAATGCCAGGAGCCCCTGCCTTCCCAGCCTCCTTTGCAACCATTTGATGGGTTCTGCCAGGGGCACCTGGGTGGCTCATCCAACTCAGGCTCAGGTCATGGTCTCAGGGTCCAGGGATCAAGACCCACATCAGGCTCTGCCCTCAGCAGGGAGTCTGCTTCTCTGCCTCTCTCTCAATTGAATAAATAAATCTTAAAAAAAAAAAAAAAGTGTTCTGCCAATTAGGGGCTCATGGAAGCCAGTGACACAGAGTCTGGACACCACACTGGGGAGGTTGGGGGCAGCAGAGATACCCACATGCCAATTCTAGAGGCTTCCAGGGTTGGGTTCAAGCAACAGTGGCCAGCTCATTCACTAGCAGGGTCACTAGCACACGTGGCGATGTCCGTCCCCACTATCCCAGGTGTCTTCCCGGGGCAGCTCTGTGGAGTGATTCTGAACATTGTCCCCAGCTGCACAGCCTCCCAACCTAGTCGTCTGGCAGTCCTGTGAGCTGCTCCCTAGCATTTAATGCATTTCTGGTTTGCTTTAATGAGCAAAATTAGCTTCAGCTGCTTGCAACCAAGCTCCCTGATTGACGCACAGTTTAGTGCGCACAGCTCTGCCGGCTTTTGCTTGCAGCCGCTCTGGCTCTAAAATTCCGGTGGGAGGGTTTGGGAGTGGGCCAGGGACTGAGCTCTGTGTGACCTCCTGCATTCGAGCTGGGCTGCTGGCTCGCTCCTTTCCAATGAGCGGTGCCATGAGCTGAACTGCGCCCCACGCCCTGCCAAAAATTCAGATGTTGAGGCCCTAACCCCCAATGTGACTATATTTGGAGATGAGGCCTTTATGAGGAACTTAAGGTTAGGTGAGGGCATAATGATGCCGCCTAATCTGGTAGGACTGGCAGCTTTGTAAGAAGACGGGGACAGGCATCCCTCTCCCTTCCATGGGAGGACACAGGCAGAAAGTATTATCTGCAAGCCAGGAAGAGAGCCCTCCCTGGAAACCGCCTGTGACAGGGCTTGTTCTGGAACTTTCCAGCCTCCAGAACGGTGAGAAAGTTAATTTCTGTTGACTGAGCCCCCCAGCCTATGACAAGCCCAACCAGACTAATAGAAGTGGTATAAAAGGGTGGTCTGAGCATGAGCTTCGGCAGTAACCAGCCTGGGTTAGGATCTTGGTTCCTCGATGGCTTAGGTAAGTGTGCTCTTGGGTAAGTTACTGAGCCTCTCTGAACCTTGGCTTTATCTGTAAAATGAAGATAATAATACTGAAGATTTGTAGACCTCCAGGATTTACTGCCTGCCCAGCAGCCCTACTCCAGCTCCTGGAGATGGAGTCCATCTTTCCTGGGGTAAATTCATTCATGACTTGTTGAGGATGGGCGTGGGTCTCCAGGCTCATTAAGATTTCCCAGGATTTTTCTGGTTAAAAAGGACTATCTCGGGGACACCTGGGTGGCTCAGTCAGTTAAGCATCTGCCTTCAGCTCAGGTCATGATCTCCAGGTCCTGGGATCAAGCCCAGCGTCAGGCTCCCCGCTTAGCAGGGAGTCTGCTTCTCCCTCTCCCTCTGCCTCTGCCCCTCCCCCATTTGTGCTTGGGCTCTCTCTCTCTCTCCCTCTCAAATAAATAAATAAGATCTTTAAAAAAAAGGACTCTCTGACGGTGCCTGGTTAGCTCAGTCGGTTAAGCATCAGACTCTTGATTTAGGCTCAGGTCACGATCTCAGGGTCGTGAGATCAAGCCTCGTGTGGAGCTTCGTGCTGGGCATGGAGCCTGCTTAAGATTCTCTCTCTCTCCCTCTCCCTCTGCCTCTCTCATCACCACCAATCGCACGCGCACGCTCTCTCTTTCTCTCTCAAAACAGGAAAGGACCATCTGTTTTTGCTGGAGTTGCTGTAAAGGCTGAAGGCAGCCATCTTGGACATAATGCAGAGAGTGCCCTTTGGGGTGATGAAGAGGGAGACAGCGGAACTGGGATTCAGCCTCTACATGACAGCCAGGGAGATGGGGCATGATGACCCCTTCCAGCCCCTGCATCTAGTTGGGCTTGAAGCTAATTATACTACTGAACCTCTTAGTTCCATGAGCCAATCATTCCTTTTTAGCTTAAGCTGGTCTGAACTGGGCCTTTTCATCTGAATAGAGAGTCTCTGAGGATTAAATGAGAAAACACAGGGAAAGTGTTGAGCATGGAGCCCAGGACAGAGTCTGCCAGGTTTTCTTTCCCAGGACACTTGGCAATGTGGTTGGACTCCAGGTTGACCCAGGTCCCAGGCCCCCTGTCACTCTCTCCATTACCCCAAGGGCAATCTCTGATCATGGCCCATGACCACCTGCAACCAGGATGCACTTCAGCCTGCCCTGCCCCCCAACCCCCGTTTTAGATGAAGCTTAGGTTTATTCTGGGGCTCTGGCTACACATAATTTTGCATCCTTCCTAACATTTTGCTGTGGGCATTATTAACCTTAAAAAGTAGAACTGTGAGTTATTTTACCAGCAAAAATGGTTTTATTCAGGAATAGCAGAGAATTACAATCCAGGACAAGCAAGCTACTGCAAAACCACAGGCAAGCCCAGAGAACAAAGGAGAGGAACACTCTTTTATAGAGGAAATAAGGACACTGGGAGGGCTGTTATAAACAAAATGTCCATTGGAATAACTGGGAGTTTGGAGTATGGTGACTTTTCATTGGCTGATTTGTGACCATGTCTCATTGGCTGGGCTGTTGCAGGCGAGGGCGGGGGGGCGGGAAGAAGGAAAGTCTTCTTCCTCCTGC